ACACCCCTGGTTTATGGGATGTGTTAAGGAGCTCTGTTGGCTGAATAGTTAAGTGTTCCACTTGCTCCAAGTGGAAGATAGACCAGTAATCTGCTCCAGGAAATAATGTAAGAATCCATTAAACCCTCTAGGGCAGCAGTTTTCAACCTGTGGGTCACGACCCTTTTGGGGATTGAAGACCCTTTCACAGGGGTTGCCTAAGACCGTCAGAAAACACATATTTCCGATGGTCTTAGGAACCGAGACACCGCTCCCCTATCCAACTCCAGGCAGGTCTGCCCACATGCAGATAGGCCCACATACGAGTACCCTGCGTGAAGATTATTACCCATGCTATATGCCATGCTTCAAGACAACATTTCATTTATTTGTCATTGGAAATAAATATGTCACAATATATAATTACATATTGCTTTTGTGATGAATCACAATGCTTTAATTATGTTCAATTTGTAATAGTGAAAATACATCCTGCATATCAGATATTTACATGATAATTCATAACAGTAGCAAAATTACAGTTATGAAGTAGCAATGAAAATAATTTTATGGTTGGGGGGTCACCACAACATGAGGAACTGTATTAAAGGGTCCCCGCATTAGGAAGGCTGAGAACCACTGCTCTAGATCCGGGGTGTCAAACTCAATACGCAGGCCATTTGGTGCAACAGGCAAGATTCATGCGGGCCACGTCACATTTATAAATTTTGTTAAATTTATATTTTGAAGTGAGGATTCAGGAATATGGATAGTACAATTAAAACACTATATAATTTCTTTTACTTAAATATTTATTTTATTTAATGTATTCATAAAACTAAAATTAGTCTTTTTCACCCAAAACTTGCCAGCGCTTTCCTCCTACTAGTTTTCACTTACCATTTATGTTTTGACCGGAAAATATAACAAAGTAACTAATAAAAAACGCAACACGTTGGACAGCTGACAAACGTGATGCACCATTGTAATGGCTTCCCTGTAAAATGTTAACTAGCGCTGCCGCTGCCGCTCGGTCTGATTCATGACAGCACAACCCAGAGTGCTCTTTTTACCCTTTTCACTATTGGATCTGTTTACATGACGTGACAGAGAGTGGCAGACGTATGCTTCCAAATATCCCCGGAACCTAGTCAGCGCGTTTATACGCATCCACAGGCCCCCAGGAAAGGCACTGGGCCACATGTAGACTCGTCTTCAGTAGTTCAAAGGTTAACGAGGGAATTGTGTGGACAGTATTGCCACGATCTCCCCTAAGCGCTATTTTCTTCATAACAATTTTTTCTATTTTCATTTTATTTCAGAGCATCACAGGCCACAAAAAATTACCTTGGGGGCCGCATGCGGCCCACAGGCTGCCAGTTTTACCCCCCTGCTCTGGGGGAAGGTTCTGTACTGTCCTATAACTCAGGTTGAGTTTCAGTGGACTCCGAAGCACGAAACAACAACATCAACAAAGGAGACTGGTCACATCTCTATAGAAAAGAACCCTGGGGGGGGGTTAAGCGTGAAATTGCTAAATGAAAGGTCAGGCGTTTGAACCCACCAGCTGCTCCTCAGGAGAGAGATGGGGTCGTCTGCTTCTATAAAGATCTACATCTTGGGAAACCCTATAGACTTGTTCTATTCTGTACTGTATAGTCAGTATGAACGAGAATTTTAATTAATTAATTTATTTTTGGGGGGGGGGGTATACCTATGTAAGGAACTCTACTGGCGTTGTCAGATAAGCATTTTAAGCCTACCCGTCACTCTGCTGGAACAAGATCAGACTAAATGCTCCAGTGAAGATTTCCAGACTCACGCACCCCATTTAATGTTGCTCTGTGTTAGCATCAAATCAAGGACGGAGGGTTAGGCCAGCGTAGGATAATACCTAGAGGGCCTACTAATTAGGGTGTACGATCAATACTTAGAGCTGCTCCCTTGACAGTCCCATTCCAGTTGTTCCTTGCTCCTGTTTCCTGGTTTCTTTTTCCCGTTGCTGTTTTTCAAAGTGTTGTAAAACCTTTCCTCCTTGTAAACCCAGTCTTACAATTGAATAACAATCAAGTCTTTGCTGTTGTTTTTATTTGTAGCAAATGTTTATCTTTAACATTTTTTAAAATAGTTTTATTAGGGGCTCATACCACTCTTATCACAACCCATATATACATCAAGTGTGTCAAGCACATTTGTACATTCATTGCCCTCATCATTCTCAAAACACTTGCTCTCCACTTGGGTCCTCTTTTTTTCCTCTCCCTCCCCCCTCCCTCATGAACCCTTGATAATTTATAAATTATTATTTTGTCATATGTTGCCCTGTCCGACATCTCCCTTCACTCACTTTTCTGTTCTCCGAGACCAGTATTTTTTTTCCTCTTAAACTACATGTAAAAGAGCCTATTTTAATCATACATATAGATCTAGGTTATTATGATGTTTTTTTCCCATGTAGTTATTGAAATTATTAATTGCTGAATGAAGAAATATTAATGAAACCACTAGCAATCATTTGAATGCACTTAACAGAATTGAAAAACCTATTTCTTAAGCAATAAACCATTTAATTATATAATAGAGCACAATGTCTAAGATATTTGTTTTAAGCTTGTATAATTAAAGACTGTATTGCAGAATTCAGTCTATTTTTCATTTTCTCCATTATTTCAAAATGGTTTGGAAAATTCCGTGTGTAATGTCCTTATATGACAGCGTTAACACAAGAAGAAATAAAAAGTGTGGTCCCTGGAAGCCTTCTCCTGTACATGTGTCTTTTGACAGAATGCATCCTTTTTATCAGAAATTAACCTTCAAATCAGTCTTTTAAAAATGTTGTCTAAAAGTGTAAGCTACCTGAGGATGCTTACCTTTTACAGAAGCAAACACTATGTTACCTATCAAAGGGGGGGAACGACTCGTTGGTTCATATCTAGCAGCGCGGCTCGGGTTGGTGTCACCTGGTGCTGTATGAATCAGAACTTGGAAATTTATTTAAATGATACACCTGTGTTTTGGAATGAAATGCCTTAAAATTGATTAAAGGCATTATTATTGGATGCGATTTGCTATGTTATATAAAATTAGAACCTACTACAGGGAATTCTTATTACAAGATGCTAATTCACAAAATAGAAATAGCTTGAAATTAAGGTAAATTAAATACTTTCTTGACAGCAATGTACTTTATGGGATTTTGTTTGAATGAATGCTAAAAGATATGAATTATAGCAGAATAAACCCATATTGAACATACTCAACATTGTGCAAAAAGCAAACAAATGAAAACTCTGTTGCTCCTTCTGTCTCTTGTTTTGTGTATCTCATTAGGAAGAGTGAATTATGTAATCAGTCTATAGAAATACAACCATATATCGGATTGCTATCTTTTTAGCATGATAACCAAACTCCATAGTCATCACTCAAATGGGAAAACAAACTTAGAAGTATAATCATGGTTCTCACTTGTATTCAACAGTTGTTTAAGATGCACATATTAATACATATCTTGAGTTTCTAAGTAGCTGAATTACTTACAATTTGCCCAGTTATTGAATAAACAAACAAACAAACTTTTACAAAATGAGAAATGAGCCTTTGAATGAAGATGGCCATATATATATATATATATATTTGACTTTCTCTGGCTATACAAATGAAGGGAATTTAACTCCAGAAAAACTCACTAACAATTTATAAACTATCAAGGGCTCATGAGGGAGGGGGGAGCGGGGAGGGAGGGGAAAAATGAGGACCTAATGCTGGGGGTTTAAGTGGAGAGAAAATGTTTTGAGAATGATGAGGGCAATGAATGTACACATGCGCTTTACACAATTGATGTGTGTATGGATTGTGATAAGAGTTGTATGAGCCCCTAATAAAATGATTAAAAAATTAATAATAAGTAAATAAATAAAAACTCAAGGCCAATTGTCAGGGGGCAGAGGTCAGACATGCTCCATTGTTCTTTACCTGATCTGACATCAACCTCTCCTCCCACAGCACTCAGCTTCTATGCTCTGTTTGACCATTCATAGCAAGGGTCTCCCAGGACTCACAGACAATACTCACAATTAAGGGAGCGCAGGGGAGGTTACCACTAGCCAGGATCAGATCATATTAAGGGTATGGCCCATAGTCCACAGCCCCCAGTAACACCTCCACTCAGTCAGCAGCCTGGTCTTCAGCATCTCCACTATCTTGACCTGTGTCTCTGTGGGCCAGGAAGCCAGCTCAATATTCTGCCTCAGGCTCAGAGCTGCTGCTCTGTTCTGTCTCTGATCTCCTTGCCTGGCTTTCTAGTCTTGGCCTAGTTCCTTTGCTCAGTCTCAGAATCACTGTGTCGCTGCCCCCTCTGGTGCCTCAGGTTTGGGCCTCTGCAGCTTAGCTCTCAAACATGCTCCACTAGTGCCTCCTCTCTGATGGCCCTGGAATTTCTCTCTCGCTGCATTGCTCCGCATCTGAGAAGTCTTTATCCACAGATCAATGGCTCTGAATGTGGTGCTGTATTGTCTTCCACGTGAACATGTCTCCAAGGAAAAGAATGGTGGTAGCTTTGTTCACACCCTGTAGAAAGGTGGAGACTCAGAATGCATCCCACTTCAGTCTTGTCCATAAATTAACAGAGAACTCCCTCCAAAATGGGATTATAACCATGGGTACAGGGGCTAGTATTTCTAATACATTATAGAACAGAATATCCCTATAACGCCTGAATTTTTAATTTCAGGAAACATTTTTTTTTGTTTTTATTCTTTACTTTCATAGTTATCAAGATATGTAACAACCAAAATAAAATTAAATATTATTAAAACCTCACCCTCGGCGTATTAAGATTAGGTCTAGAAGGGCTATATTAATTGACTGAACCAGATGGCATCTCCATTTCATCAACTGGAATCTTAGAAAATTAAATATTTAGCAACATGAGTTCTCAATACGACATCTAACTCCTAGATTCATATACATTTTTGAATGTCTTAAGCTAATATTTTAATCTGAAAATATAATTTTTTTTGCAGGCAGTTAGAACGGATCCTGTCCCTGTTAAATTACACTATGACAAGTCACATGATCAAGTCTGGGTGCTAAGCTGGGGTACAATGGAAAAGACTTCACCAACACTCCAGGTAGGTACTCTTGTGTGCATGTCAGAAAATAATGCTCCTTCCATCTCACATATCTCATGAAACATTTATGATTATTTAACTGATATTAATTTTAAAGGCAGCACTCCTAAGGAGGTTGTGATGTGTAATCATAAGTCTCAGAATCTAGCCTCATAACAGATCTCTTTTCCCCCTCAAGGAATACTATTTTTATCTGATGGCTCCCCCACTTCAAATGTGGTACGCTGGGGTGTGGTTTTTGTTGAATTTGATTCTCCATTGAAGCTGATTATGGGAGAACTAAGTAGATGAAAGAAAAGATGTATGTATTTTCACAATCACTCGTTAGCACAGCCAAGATTTCTGAAACTAAAATCTAGAAAGAAGTAAGAGAAAACAGGAAGAAAATTGTACCCTTTTAAATGCTTGCTCCAGCCACCTTGTGATTTTATTGTTACCTTGGTTACGATTCTGAAAGTGGAAGTTTCAAGACTTTTTTTTTTTAATATAGAATCAACCCATACAAATTCTACCAAAATCTGCTCAGCAAAGCAAGTCATAGCTGTATAGTCAGATTCAAGAAGGTGGCACAATAGGCTCCGTCTACTGATAAGAAAAAATATTCCAACTGTGGCCCATTTCTGTACTTATCTGTACCGGATAATTAGTGGGTGTAGTTATTTTATATTTTAAATAACAATTATAATATGGATAAACAAATGGTTGAAAATTATACATTTAAATTTTTATTCTTTGAACTATTTCATCTTCAAATTTTCCATGCCAGGTAGTACATTATTATTCATGAATAGACTGAATATTTTTCAGTTTTTCAGTATGTCAAGATAACATTTTAGACAAACTTGTGGCATTATATGAAGAAAAATAAATCTAGAGAAAGTAATTTACCACATACTGTTTGATCCTCCATAAATGGACTCTTTATTTTTTCTCACAATATCTAATAAGGAAAAAACTGCAAGAATTTGGTAAACTATAAACAATATTTGTTAGGTGAGAATGACATTTAAAACATTTGATAAGTAAATTATGCACCTAAAATGTCTAATACTTTCAGTGTAAGAATGTAGAAATATACTTAAAATAGTGCAAAAAAGAAGAGATAGTTATTTAGTGTTTAACAAAAAAGGAGAATGGAAAGAAAGAGAGCAAGAGACAGTCATCGTTATTTTTCAGAAAAGTTTTAAAAAGGACTGAGAGAAACCAGTTCTTATTCAAAGGACATACCTGAGTACATATGATCACCCAAAATCTCCATGTGGTGATATGATAAGAACTGTGTGTTACGCTAAATGTGCACAATTATTGATTAGTAGAAGTTTGATACGACAATATCTAAATTGCTAAAGGTTACTGAAATGTGGGGTGATTCTTTCTGGAGAGAAAATTTTACCCCGGAATTGTATTCCAAGATTCAGTAATTATCTCAGACTTTGAAATGTAAGCAGATATCACTGGAAGGTAGCTACATTGCAAATTGATTGGAAGAGATCCATAGCTGTGCACATTCGAAAGAAAGGTGACGCAACAGAATGCTCAAACAATAGAACATTATCATTGACACAGCAGGCAAGTAAACTTTTGCCTAGTATCATCCAACAATGGTCGTAGCAGTACATTGAAAAGGAACTGCCAGCCATTCTATGATGCTCACCTTCCCGACACAACCGCTGAAGACAAAGCGGGTGAATAAGCAAATGTGGTGAAGAAAGCTGATGGTGCCCGGCTA